GTTTGCACCTGCTAATCCCACACTCCCAATCCTTCCCTCCCCCTTCCCGCTTGGCAACCACAAGTCTGTTTTCTATGTCTGTGAGTCTATTTCTGTTTTGTAGATAAGTTCATTTGTGTCATATTTTAGATTCCACATATAAGTGATGTCATATGGTATTTGTCTTTCTCTTTCTGACTTACTTCGCTTAGTATGATAATCTCTACGTTCATCCATGTTGTTGCAAATGGTATGTCATTCTTTTTTGTGGCTGAGTAATATTCCATTGTATATATGTACCACATCTTCTTTATCCATTCATCTGTCGATGGACATTTAGGTTGTTTCCATGTCTTGGCTATTGTGAATAGTGCTGCTATGAACATAGGGGTGCACGTATCTTTTTGAATTGTAGTTTTGTCTGGATATATTCCCAGGAGTGGGATTGCTGGATCATATGGCAACTCTATTTTTAGTTTTTTGAGGAACCTCCATACTGTTTTCCACAGTGGCTGCACCAGTTTACATTCCCACCAACAGTGCAAGAAGGTTCTCTTTTCTCCACACCCTCTCCAACATTTATCATTTGTAGACGTTTTAATGATGGCCATTCTTCTGACTGGTGTGAGGTAGTACCTCATTGTAGTTTTGATTTGCATTTCTCTAATAATTAGTGATGTTGAGCAGCTTTTCACGTGCCTACTGGCCATCTGTATGTCTAGTTTAGAGAAGTGTCTGTTTAGGTCTTCTGCCCATTTTTCGATTAGGTTGTTTGGCTTTTTTGTTATTGAGTTGTATGAGCTGTTTGTGTATTTTGGAAACTAAGCCCTTGTCAGTTGCATCATTTGCAAATATTTTCTCTCATTCCGCAGGTTGTCTTTACATTTTGTTTATGGTTTCCTTTGCTATGCAAAAGCTTGTAAGTTTGATTAGGTCCCATTTGTTTATTTTTGCTTTTATTTCTATTGCCTTGGGAGACTGACCTAAGAAACCATTGGTACGATTTATGTCAGACAATGTTTTGCCTATGTTCTCTTCTAGGAATTTTATGGTGTCATGTCTCATATTTAAGTCTTTAAGCCATTTTGAGTTTATTTCTGTGCATGGTGTGAGGGTGTGTTCTAACTTCATTAATTTACATGCAGCTGTCCAACTTTTCCAACACCACTTGCTGAAGAGACTGTCTTTTCCCTACTGTACATTCTTGCCTCCTTTGTTAAAGATTAATTGACTGTAGGTGTGTAAGTTCATTTCTGGTCTCTGTATTCTGTTCCGTTGATCCATATGTCTGTTTTTGTGCCAGTACCGTGCTGTTTTGATTACTGTAGCTTTGTAGTATTGTCTGAAGTCTGGGAGGGTTATGCCTCCTGCCCCCTGCATTGGAAGTGCTGAGTCTTAACCACTTGACTGCCAGGGAAGTCCCATCCTGCTTTGTTCTTTTTCCTCAGTATTGCTTTGGCAATTCTGGGTCTTTTATGGTTACATATACATTTTAGGATTATTTATTTGTTCTAGTTCTGTGAAAAAATGTCATGGGTAATTTAATAGGGATAGCATTAAATCTGTAGATTGCTCTGGGTAGTATGGCCATGTTGGCAACATGAATTCTTCCGATCCAAGAGCATGGGATATCTTTCCATTTCTTTGAATCATCTTCACTTTCCTTTATTAATGTTTTATAGTTCTCAGCATTAAGTTAGTACTTTTGTCTCAAGACTTAAAAGTATTTTCAAGGCCACAGTGTTTCCCTAGCAGTCTACAGACCTCTGTTGAAACACTGTATTGGTTAGGGAGATGCACAGCTGCTGTGACAGAGAGCCCCAGAAAGACAGTGACATAAAATGCACAGAAATATTTCTCTCCATCACCTCCGAGCCCAGAGGCAAGCAGTGCAGGTGGACAGGGCAGCTCAGCTGTAAGTGCATTTCAGAGATACAGGCTCCTTACACTTTGCTTCTCGGTCCTGCCCCAGGACTGTAGTTCTTAGTCTCTCCTGAGCATCCCGACCCCCTGAAGGGCTGATTAAGCCACCTCCCACTCCCAGCGTCTTTACTCAGCAGGTCCAAGTGGGGCTTGAGGATTTGCATTCCTGACAAGCTCCCAGGTGCTGCTGGTCCAGGGCCGGCGCTTGGGGAGTCACTGCCCGAGGCCCTGTGCTTGCCTGCCCTGGCTGATCGCAGACATGTCCACGGTCCAGATTATGGGGTGGGGAACGAGTGTGGAGGCATACACACACGGTTTGTTCAGGCCAGGCAGGAAGTGGCACTCTGCATTTCCACTCAGTTTCCACTGGTGAGAAGACTCACAAGGCCCCACCTACCTACAAGGGATGCTGGGGCAAGTCTAGTTCATTGGCCATGTCAATGAAAATAATCAACAATCTATAATAGGAATAGAAAAGAGTGTGATTGGAGCCAAACTGAAGAGTGTAGCCCGGAAGACAGCATCTTAGATAATTCTGAGGAGCTGCTCCAGAGAAACACGGTTTTCAGCACAGTTTTATATCTTGTCAGAACAAAGAACGTTAAACAAGTCGGGGATACATTCCTTCAAGCTTTCAGAAAAAAACAGACCAGCACATCACGCCAGTGAGTCAGCATGGCCTTGGCACCTGGGAAGGCAGTCTTATCATCGAAGGAGTCCCAGCATTGGTGTCCCAGGAAGGGAGGCATTTAATCTTTATTTTTAACATGGGCATTCTTTACTTCTGGTCAATGTGCCCTTTTCTTTAAAGCAGATGTGCAGTGTAGGTTTAATAGGTCACAAACAGGCTGTTTCAGTTAATATAAAATTGAAGTGAAGGCATGGGGACTCCTGGTGGAGGACCTGCTGGACCCACCCTTGGCTTCTCCAGTTAGGACCCCAGTGGGCCCCCTCAGTGGGCTAAGACCAACCAGCAGTCGAGATCCTATGCCAGTTGGAAAACCAGATACTTGAAAACAGAGAATGAAGTGGGTTTTGAGAGCATTAATAGGAAAGTGAAAAACAAGGGAATAGGCCAAAAAGGGTTTTCTTTTTTTTTAAATTTATTTTATTGAAGTATAGTTGATTTACAACGTTGTGTTAATTTCTGCTGTACAGCAAAGTGATTTACGTATACATATATATATTCTTTTCCGTTATGGTTTATCACAGAATATTGAACATAGTTCCCTGTGCTATACAGTAGGACCTTGTTGTTTATCCATCCTATATATAATAGTTTGTATCTGCTAATCCTAACCTCCCAGTCTATCCCTCCCCCAACCCTCCCCCTTGGCAACCACAAGTCTGTTCTGTATGTCTGTGAGTCTGTTTCTGCTTCATAGAAAAGTTCATTTGTGTCATATTTTAAATACCGCATGTAAGTGATCTCATGGGATTTGTCTTTCTCTTTCTGACTTATTTCACTTAGTATGGTAATCTCTAGGTCCATCCATGTTGCTGCACGTGGCATTATTTCATTCTTTTTTGTGGCTGAGAAGTATTCCATTGTATATGTACCACATCTTTTTTGTTTCGTTTTGGTTTTTTTGGCCACGCTGTGCAGCATGTGGGATCTTAGCTCCCCAACCAGGGATCGAACATGCACCCCCAGCATTGGAAGCTCGGAGTCTTAACCACTGGAAGGCCAGGCAAGCCCTACCAATCTTCTTTATCCATTCATCTGTCGATGGACATTTAGATTGTTTCCATATCTTGGCTGTTGTAAATAGTGCTGCGGTGAACATTGGGGTGTGTGTATCTTCTCAAATTATAGCCCAAAAAGGGTTTTCTAATGGCAGAGGATGAGAAAACAAAACAGGGAAGGAGATGAGAATAAAACTCCATAAAAGTCTAACAATTTGGGGGGATGGGAAGCACCCAGATGCAACAAATTACTGTGACAGGAAGAAACAATCACTTTGGAAACAGCAGGCATGGGTGTTTGTGAAGCCGTACAGCGGGCCCAAACGACCTCAAACCAAAGCGCATTTGGATGCCCCTCTAACTGGGGGAATAAACAGCGCTGTCAGTCCATTCCTGTCTGGCCTTTGTTTTTGGTCCAAGTTCACTGGGATCCTGAGAGATGGATGCTCTAGGGCAGGATGCTGGGAGCCCTGGGGGAGGGAGCCCATTGTCCCAGAGTCAGCCTTTCTGGGGGAGGGAGTCGGCGGGGCTAATTGTCTCTCCATGGAGAGTCCCCTGCTTTAAAGCCATCTAATCAAATCATCTCTTCTAAATGTCCTCTGGTTGGAATCAGGTTATTCCTAGTATGTGTGAGAATAATAAGCATCAACATGTTAACCACAATTATCTCTGGCAAAATGCATTGTAGGGCTTCCCTAGTGGCGCAGTGGTTAAGAATCCGCCTGCCGATGCAGGGGACATGGGTTCGAGCCCTGGTCCGGGAAGATCCCACACGCCACGGAGCAGCTAAGCCCATGCGCCACAACTACTGAGCCTGCGCTCCAGAGCCCGCGAGCCACAACTCCTGAAGCCCGGGCGCCTAGAGCACGTGCTCCGCAACAAGAGAAGCCACTGCAATGAGAAGCCCGCGCACCACAATGAAGAGTAGCCCCCCCTCGCCGCAACTAGAGAAAGCCCGTGCGCAGCAGTGAAGACCCAAACAGCCAAAAATAAATAAATAAAATAAATAAATTTTTAAAAAATGCATTATAATCTGTATTTTCTTTGCTGTAATTTTCTCTATACTCACATTTTTCTACAATGGACATATCTTTTCATAAGAAGAAAGAAAACATCTAAACTGTTCCTGTTTGGCAGAGGTCTGGCTGGAGTGGGGAGGGTGAGTGGGGGTGGGGGAGGGCAGTGTGCAGGTACGGGAGTCCCCAGGTGGCCTGTGGCCCCCAGATGTTCCCCTGTGCTCTTTGTCGGATCGGGGCCTTCTCTTTCTGCCTTTAGCTCACTGTCTCCCCTGGGGTCTGATACAGGAGAGACAGCTGCTGAGCTCGAGGGCAGGGCACGGAGGGAGCTGGGGCTGTCTGGGAGACGCCTGGCTTCTGCTGCACCTGGTGACCCATCTCTGGTTGTGCTTCCAGGTGAGCCTCAAAGCAGGAGCCCTGACTCAGCCTCTCATCTGACGACTGTCAGCTGCCACTGCCGCCAGCCCATCCCCTGCCCAGGCCTGTCGCTGTGCCATCTCTCGGCAGGTGAGGAGGTAACGTACCCTGTCCAAGAGCAGGTTCTCTCTGGAGAGCAGGTGTCTCTGCCAGCAGTGCGTGTGTGGGCCTGGGATGAGGCTGGACTGGCAGGCTCCTTGATGGGTGGCCAGGTCCTCACACCATCACTTTCTTCTTCTAGCAGTTGTCATCATCCCAGATGTAGGGCCCTCATGAAGCCTGTTTTACCCCCCTCCTCACATCATCCCTCACGCTAGTGGATGTGCCCCCTCCTGGGGGAGCATCAGGAGGAGAACCAAGCCATGTCCATGGGTTGCTGGCCTGGGCTGGGAATCAAGCTGTGTGCTCTCCCCACTAGGAACAGAGATGTTACTCAGGCAAGCACCCTTGTTCAGCAACTCGCTGTGACAAAGGGGGTGAAGGTCAACCAACACTCCCACCCAGCCCACCTTGCAGTCTAAGCTGCTTGGTCCCTTTAGGCCTAGAGGGCTGTGCTCACTGGCAACAGCTGTTTTTCAGGCATTTCCCAGAGAGACAGACGGCAGCACTCTGCCAGCCGACACATATCAAGGGCTTGTGGAGATAAGTCATGTTAGGGAGGATGGCTGAAAAGGCACGGTGACATCCACTCATCCAGAAATTCTACACACTGTATCCCGAGTCAGGTCAGATCGGCAGCACTGGGGATTGAACCACCTTGCACTGCCCTGCCCCTGACTCTGAGTTTACCCAGTTATACACCACAGGATGCAGCCCGTTAGAACCTCCCTGGGAAAGCTGTCTGTGTGAGTGTATCCCATGTGCTGGAGGAGAAAGATGTCTGACCACCGAGGTGACAGAGCCAGTCTCCTGAGTAGTTGGCTCGTTTGCCCTTCCTTCTGCCTTGTCTTCTGAAAAGCCAAGGGTCAAGTTAGTGGTCCACCGGTGGCCAGTATTCATGTTCAGCTTCATTTCATCTCCATTCTTCCCTACTTCCACGTTTCTTCTTGGGTCAAGGTGGGTGTACATGCACACATACGTATATGGAGAGAGACATCCATCTGTTCACGTAGAGGTATGGTGTCTGGGTAGTCTTGTTACCAAACCAGACTTAGGTGCACTCTCCCGCCCGCGGTAAAGCCAATCTGCTGACACCGGGTGGTGGTGAAGGAAAGTGCAGCGTTTTTTGCAGGGCGTCAACCAAGGAGTCCAGGGCGGCTAGCGCTCAAAACACCCGAACTCCCTGGTAGGTTTCAGGAAAGCATTTTGAAGGCTGAGTGAGAGAGGGGAGTCCCAGGGTCTGTGATCAGCTCGTGCACAATTCTCTGATTGACTGATGGTGAGGTCACAGGACGGTGTCACATTATCAATCCTCAGGCCCCAGTAGGTCTGGGGGCTTCATGCTCGTGGTCGTCAGGTAGTTAATTTCTTCCATTTGGTGGGGGTTTTAGGATACAAAACAACTCAGGAAATGTGCATCAGATACTGTTATCTAGGTGCTTCAGAGAGGAGCTAAAGTGGAGGATATGGGGGAGGGGTCTGTCCCGGGAAGGCCCCATAGGGTCCTTCTCAGTTACAGTCTTGAAAGGGCAGAGATGTGGAACCTAAGAGGTGCCTGACCAGGTAGGGGAGGGAGGCCCCTCAGAGACCTTCCCGTGTGGTCCTATCTTTAAAAGGCTCAGTTGCCTTTAGCTCCATTTGACAAAAGCCATTTCCTTCTCCAGGGCCAACTATGTCCCTGGGTTATCTTGACACCACAGCGGGTGGGGGAATCCTCCCTGCCATTGCATGCCCAAGTTAGGCTGGTTTAGGATCACTTGAGGGGTGAGCCTGTCCTGGGAGAGCAGGCTAGCCCAAGTGATGGGTAACGGCCTCTTAGTGCCCTGAAGGCCCCACCAGGCTGAGGAGGGGCGACCAGCCCGGGCAGCATCGGGGAAATGCTTCCTTCCACTTCCATTAAAGACCTCTGCAAAATTAAGTTCTTTAACCTCCTTGAAAATTTGAAAAATAAAGGGGTAGGACCTGGACCTCTGAGGTCCCTTCCAGTATTAATGTTTGGTGATTCAGAGCCTTGCTACTCAAAGTGTGGTCCCCGGACCAGCAGCAGCTGGGGGCTTGTTAGAAATGCAAAATCTTGGACCAAACCCCAACTCATTTAATCAAAACATCTGCATTTTATCCAGATCCCCAGGGATTCATATGCCCATTAAAATTTGTAAAGGACTGATTAAAGAGTCCTGAAGGTACACGAACACCCACCTTCCAAGGTGATCTGATGGACATACAGGAACAAGGGAGTGGAAACGATTTACTGCCAGCCGTGGTTCTCCACCTCTGGGACGTGCCAGAATCACCTTGGGAGGTTGTGAAATACAGGTTCTGGTCTGTGGCGCCACAGTCTGGGTTCTGGGTATGCATGCTTGAGAAACCTCACTGGCCACTTGGAGACAACAGAAACGTGCACGTGTGAAATGGTCTATAAGTCACTGACAGCAACAAGAGTGACATCCTATAAATGGGGTCAGTGAGCCCAGGGGCAGCAGAGCAGGGGGGTGAGGTGGGCAGGCTTGTCATCCCTGTACTGGGGACAGGGCTTTGCATCCTTATTTTTAGCATCTCCACGTTTAGTTACTTAGGGGGCCCTTCTATGTGCATCTGTAGTTACCTCTCCACCTCCTTCCTGAGCAACAGTGGAAATGGGGGGAAGGGAGGGTTTTATGTTGTGTTGTTGGTGCTTGTTTTGAGATGATGAAAAAGACATAAACGTATTTTTATGTGCTGAGAAAGAAGGCACCCAGAGACACTGACGTTACAGGAGAAAGTGGGGTGAGTGGCAGGGCAGAGCCCCAAGAAGGGGACAGATCCACTACAGGTGAGGTATCAGGCCTAGGTAAGGAGATGCTTTCAGCTGCAAGTGACAGATGACCCAAGAAATATGGCCTAGACTGTGAGGAATATATTCTGTCAGTATCAAGGGTCCGAAGTAGAGTGTCCGGGATCCACGCATCTCAGGGCTCTGGATCTGTTTCTCCATGAGTCTCCTGCCTTTGCCCTGGGTCTGTTCCCCAGTGTCACTATGGCAACTCTCAGTGAAGCCAGCCAAAGACTGGGGCTTCTCCTGGTGGGCCTTGACTAGGAAGGAAAACCTTTCCTACAAGTCCCCTGCAGATTTCCCTGCATGTCTCCTTGATTAGGACAGGTTCATGCGCTCTGGTCCTTCTGCAAGGGAGGTGGGAAATGGGCACGTGGCACCATGGGCCCCTGAAGCAGAAGGTGGGCTCTGCTCTCAGGGGCAGCAGGGAAGTGGGCAGCCATGGGGAGGGCCAGCAGCGGGTCCTGATGCAGAGGCACGGATGGAGGGCAGGATGCGTGTGGGCACCAAGCAACCGTAGGAGGTGGAGCTGGAGTCAAGGAGGTTCTGCCCTAACGGCTTTTCCTCTATTCCGTGGAAGCTGAGGTCGCCTTCCAAGGACGAGAGGACAGAGCTGGTGAGGAGGTGATGGAGATTGACATGGTCAGGAGGGCAGAGGGAGGGGTGATGGGAACGGGCTGAGGTCGCCAGGCTGCCTTGAGGACCCGCTCAGGCTGGCCTGTCAAGTCTGTGGGCACCAGTCCCCAGCTTTTGGGGGCGTTTCTCCAGCAGCCCTTCCGAGGGGGCTGGGAGGGGAAGGAGTTAGATTGAAAGTGCTGGGTTTGGAGGACAGAGGGAAGAAGGCAAGTCTTGGGAGAGTGATGACGATGCGGGGCTGTGGTCTGGCAGACACTGTGGAGGCCCCGGGGCTTTGAGGCTGAGGAGGAGGAAGGGGGTGAGGACACCGGGGCCTGGGAGCAGAGCCCTCCTGGCTGGGGGCGGACGCGGTCCGGAGGGGGACCCGGTGGGGAGAGCGGGGAGGCGGAGGGGCCCACGGAGGGGACACAGGAGGGAGAAGACACGCGGCGCCAGGTGCTGGGCCCACCCCACCTGCTTATTTTATCTCTCGGACACGAAACAGAAAAGGCCCTTTGTCCAATATTAAGCATTTGGCCAGACTTCTCGCTCTGTGTTGAGGAGAGGGTTGAAAATGTGCCCTTTCTCTGTGACCAGGGGAAGGATGAGAAAGCAGCAGAGCAGGGTCAGGGCCAGTCCTGGGGCAGCGGGGAAGGAGAGGGCGGTTCCAGGGGGACGGACGGGGATCCGGTTCTGCAGGTAACGTTTTCTATACGCTCACACCCACCCTCACTCACACACTCTCACACACTAACACCCACCCTCACACACACACACTCACGCCCACCCTGACTCACACATACACTCGCACACACCCACATGCAATTCAGATTCCTTCCCCCCGCTCCCTTCCCCTGGATCTTCCTTTCTTCACTTCTGCTAACCCCGGGCTCAGCTTCCTCTCACGAAGCCCCCCTGGTCCCTGCCACCCCTCCACTTCCTCAACTCCTGAACCCCCCAAGTCAGTGATGAGGGAAGAGAGGGGTGATTTCAGGAACGGGGCTGGACAATGGGAATCTGAGGACAGTCATCTCAGGGCCCTTTTTCACTTGTCGGTCAGGCTGAGGAGGCTTGGGAAGTAGACTGCATCTTCTCCTTCCTTTTGTGTGGACACAGGGACATGTAAACACACACGTGCACAGAGGGGCCGCCCTGCACACACAGGCTCGCAGAGGGCGTGCCCTTCAGGCACGTGGGCACACAGGGACACAGCCCTGAACACACATGCAGAATTGCACGCGCATCTCTGTAGAGTGTGGGGGTAGGTGGCTGCTCCCCCGGGTTGCAAAATCCTCAACTACTCATGCTTCTCCTTCCCTTCCTGGGAAATAAAAGTTCCCAACCAAGACAGGAACACACCCCTGTTACACTGTGGTTTTGGTGGCTGCTCTGTCTTAGAAGAAGAAAGTTTTATTTTTCAAACGTTGCCTGTGGACAGATGAAGTTGCCATCTGGCCTCCTCTGGGCCAGAGGGTCAGTGTGAATGAGAAAAGCCAGAGTGTGGCCTGCCCACCACGGGACCGGCCTAGCCTCCTGCCGCCTCACTGTGCACTGCGGAAAACCGTTGGCGCCGGAAAACCTCCAGCTCTCGGGCTAGCCCGAGTAGACCTCCTCTGGGTACTTTCTCGTTAGATGCGGTAACGGTAACCTACGGCATGTGCTTTGCTGTGGAGCAGTTAGCATCACAGGGGTATTCTGGCAGAATGACATGTTGGGTCAGGAAGAATTTCTTCCCCCTTCTAGAAAAACAAATGTATGCCTGGGATAGGTGTGTATGTGTTTGTATGTGTTCTTGTTTAGAAACGAACTCCCAGCATAAAGTCTGTAAACGTTTTGGAATGACAGCAAATTAAAGCGAATAATAAAGCGGGACTTCCCTGGAGGTCCAGTGGTTAAGATTCCCTGCTTCCACTGCAGGGGGTGCGGGTCGGATCCCTGGTCAGGGAACTAAGATCCAACATGCTGCATGGCGTGGCCAAATAAATAAACTAATTTAAAAAAAAGAATAATGAGGCAGGCTCATTCAGGGGAAACTTGCACTTTGCAGTGTAGCCGGCTAGAGGACACCATGTGAGACTGTGGAAAGAACCCTCAGCTAGGCTTCAACGCTTTGCGTTTGCGTTCTGGGTCCACAGATTTTGGCTGTGGGACCTTTGACTCTTGGCTTCATTTCTCTGAGTTCTGCACTTTCTTTACTTGTAAAACAAAACTCAGTCTATTTTGCCAACTTTCAGCGCTGTTAGAGGAGTGAGTGAATAAATGTGTATGAAAATGATTTTTTACTAACAAAGCACCGTACAAATGTCAAGGTATTACTTATGGCCATGGGGGTGGTAATGTGACTCTGGGACCATCTGTTATCTTCTGTTTCCTCTCGCTGGGGCTGAGAAGGTCTGGCAAACAGGAGCCTGATGGCTTGCTCCCATCACTCGGATGAAGCACTCCTTCCTCTTATCCCAGGAGGGTCTGCTCCCATGGCTCCCTGGCCCGGAAAGGGAAGCTGCAGTGGGTAGGAGGTGAGAAAGCTGAGGGGGGTTCTGCCTTACTTTGGAAAAGCAGCTCTTTCAACCCCTTAACTTTGGTTGTTTCAGGGGCAGCAGAATGAAAGAAGGCATGTCCAGTAACAGCACTGCCAGCATCTCCCAAGCCAGGAAGGCTGTGGAGCAGCTGAAGATGGAGGCCTGCATGGACAGGGTGAAGGTAAGCACGCACAAGCCGGCCTGGCCCTCTGACCAACGCTCAGCTCCAAACGGTGCCCCCCCCCTTGCTCAAAGCAGCCTCATGAGAGCAAGTGCATCGCCCCATAGCGCATCCAGCCAACACTGGCGGCTGTAACATTTACAAACGAGCATTTGCTGCGGAGTTCAGAGCGTGCCTGAGCATCCAGTGGATGCAGAATACACAGTGTGTGGATTCCGTGAGGAGTTGCCAAAAATAGACCCATATTCATCTCAGCTCTCTTTAGCTCCGTTGTCATGCCAGTAAGCGAGAGAGAGTTGAACCGTGAGATCCATCATAGTTTTCCTGCCTGATCCAGTGACTCTGAGGTTAAACAACATCACGTATTTTGACAGGGGCGCTGTCAGGAGTGCAGCATCGAACCGTGCACCGCGTTTGTCATACGCTCCTTTGGGGAGGAAAGGGAAGAAAGGTGCCAGCCGCCTCCCGTCATGTTCATTTCTCTGAGGAGTGTAGTTGTCTTCACGCTGGGCGAGCTGAAGTGAGATGAAGCCAGCTCTTCTCCAGGTGCCACTTTGAAGCAAGCAGGGGGCCAGGCGGAGCAAGTGGCTCTGAGATGCCGCTTAGTTAGGTTCATGGACTGTAATACACCTGGAAGCCCATCGGGAATCTGACAGCAGGAAACACGAGTCCAGTGTGTCTGTGGCCTTTTGGGACACAACACAGGGCTCTCACCCAGACACTGGGATGCAAATAAGACAGAATCCATGGGGCACTGGGGGACTCCTAAAGCCTTCTGTTGGCAGAGTGAGCAGTCCCTTCCCCAGGCTCCCACCCCCGAGAGCTGTGGCCAGATAACACCAGCTTCTGCTTCCGTCAGGATAGTTATCCCCCTTCCCTGGGGACGTCCAGGTATGAGCTGTCCAAGGAGGCAGTAAGCAAGCACAGTAAGTGACACAGTGCACATACCACGCAAGAAGGGGATGCAGGACGACACACATCGGTCTAAGTGGACCAGCTATACCTGCACGTACTGATACCGACTGCAGATTAGACATCAGTCCTTGATCCCCAGGCTAGAAGAGGAAGCAAGAAGAGAAACAGTTCTTAAAGAGGGGGAACCCCAGTGGTGTAGAAATGGGTCTAAGGATGAGCACTGCAGACGGTCAGCAGGCTGCTGGTTCAAGGATAGAATAGACCTTGCTGAGAGGACGAGAATGCAGTGAGATTCGCTCTTTGGACAGAGATGCCTGAGCACGTGCTCTGGCCTCAGCGCAGTCCTGGGATATAAACACGAGTGGAATGTTCCGTCATGTTGCTCAGAGAAGACTCCCGGGAGTCGTGAGCTGGGAGTGGGTTGGGAGGTGACACGGGGGAGAAGGGAAGGCCAGTGTGAGCTGACTGTGGCTCATTGCGAGCACTTGGACTTGACGGAAGAGCTGGTAGTTAGTTGTGCTGGGAGGGCAGCTGGGGGATGCTGTGTGCACACGTACAGTTCATGAAAATGACTGGGTGTGCGCCGAGGCTACATACGGGATGACTAACAACAGTCGATAAAGTCGTCAGAGGCCGAGGGCAGCGGAAGCTGTAGAGGTAGCCGGGAGAGGCCCCGAGGGGAAGAGAGCGGAGGCAGGATGGAGAGGCCAGCGCGCAAGAAACTCAGCAGAACTTAGAGGGTAAGTGTGGGAGCCGCCAGGAAGAGAGAAGCTAGACCCCAACCGTCAAGCCCATGGCCTGAGGACTGGAAATATGGTGGGCACCGGTTTTGGCGATAGGACAATCACCATGCTGGGGAGTTTTACTTCGGCAAGGAAGATGCACTCGGTGATAACAGGTCCTCACCTGTGACCTTCACCACCCAGGAGTCATGGTGGGGACCACAGGTCCCCACGAGGAAGGGCCCTTCAGGAGTCACTAAAGGCACAGGCACAGTCTCCAAAAGAGGCGGGGGAGATCATAAGGCAACTCAGAGTCCAGTTTGTTACTCAGGTGGCATCAAGGGATGGGCAGTCCTGTTCTTGCGGTGAGTGGGTTATGGAAATGCGGCTCCTTGATCCCGGGAAAAGCCGCCTGGGGGGAATCTGCGGCCTCTCTGGTAATTCCAGGGCCAGTGACAGCCGTGTCAGATTTGGTTCAGAGCTGGCAGAGTCGTCACAGCAGAGATGATCCAGGGCTGCCTGAGGACAGAGGTGGCCCTGAGGAACCACATGCTGGCCGTAGCTTCACAGTCACGTGTGGTTTTTTGGCTTGGGTTTTGCTCACACAACCTTGAACTTTTTCTTTGTTTGTTTTAAATTGTGGTAAGATACATATAACATGTAACTTACCAGTTTAGCCATTTTTAAGTGTACCGTTAACTAGCATTGCGTACATCCACAGTATTGTGTAGCCACCCATTTCCAGAGCTCTTCCTTATCCCCCAAAACAGAAACTCTACCCATTAAGCTCTAACTCTCCGTTGCCCCCGCCCCCCTTCCTTAGCCCCAGCAACCTCTCCTACTTTCTGTCTCTATGAATTTGACTCTTCAAGGTACCTCATTTGATGTACATGGAATCATGCAATATTTGTCTGAATTTTGTGTATGGCTTATTTCACTTGGCATATGCCTTCAGGGTTTGTCCAGTGTAGCATGTGTCAGGATTTCATTCCTTTGTAAGGCTGAATAGTATTTCATTATGTGCGTGGACCACGTTTTATTTACCCATTCATCTGTTGATGGACATTTGGATTGTTTCCACCTTTTGGCTATTGTGAAGAGCGCTGCTGTGAACATGAGTGTGCAAGTGTTTGGGTCCCTGCTTTCAGTTCTTTGGGGTATATGCCCAGAAGTGGCATTGCTGGATCATGTGGTAATTCTATGTTTAACTTTTTTGAGGAACCACCATACCGGTTTCCACGGTAGCCATACCTTTTTACATCCTCCCCACCCCCACGTCCTCGCCAATACTTGTTATTTTCCTTTTTTTAAAATAATAGCCATCCTCATGGGTGTTACGCTCACACTTTATTTGATATTGTTGTTTTTAAGATTTTTTTTGTGTGTGTGTGTGTGTGTGTGTGTGGTATGCGGGCCTCTCACTGTTGTGACCTCTCCCGTTGCGGAGCACAGGCTCCGGACGCACAGGCTCAGCAGCCATGGGTCACGGACCCAGCTGCTCCGCGGCATGTGGGATCTTCCCGGACCGGGGCACGAACCCGCGTCCCCTGCATCGGCAGGCGGACTCTCAATCACTGCGCCACCAGGGAAGCCCGATTTTTTTTTTTTGATGTGGACCACTTTTAAAGTCTTTATTGAAGTTGTTACAATATGGCTTCTGTTTTTTTGTTATTTTTTTATGGCTTCTGTTTTATGTTTTGGTTTTATGGCCGCAAGGCATGTGGGATCCTATTAGCTCCCCGGAATTCGCACCCCCTGGATTGGAAGGCAAAGTCGTAACCACAGGGAGTCCCTCCCACTTGATTTGAATCACTAGACGGATGCCCCTTGCTTCAGGGCACAGGATGGCTTTGGGGAAAAATCTACTTGATGCGACTCTTCGGCGGAAAAAAAAAAAGTGTGTATTGATATCAATTAAGCCAGACAATAAAAACAGAATATGGAAAGAAAGAGACTCCATCAAGGATACTCCAGATTGACCTTGATAAGGACCTTGAGGAGGGTGGAAATAGGAACGGCGTCACCAGGGAGAAGAAGTGGGCTTTCTAGGGTGGCTGAGAGTTTACTGCAGGAGGGGAAGAAGGAAAAAGGGAGCCTGGGGGTAAATGACCGAGGGAAGCTGCGTGGAAGGAGGAGAGGAACAGTACCTAGAATTCACTGACCTCATACAAACAGTGAGGGCAACGCCAGGTCCAGATGAAGGGGGAAAAGGGCAGTCTGACTGCATGGTGAGGATGTAGAAAAAGCGAGTGTGCCGTGCCTTCCACGGGGCCCGGAGAGAGGGAAGAACAAGGGGAAACAGCTGGAGGCCCCATGGAAGAAATAATTGCAGTGACAGGTCCCACAGAGCTGGCTCCCAGGTGGAAGCATGACAGAGGGGGACCCAGAGGACAGCCTGGGCATGAAACCAGAGAGGAGCCCCATGGCTTGTATGGTGTGTCGCCGACTGCAGAGCCCACCTCTGGGCTTCGTAGTTTGCTCTGCTTGGAAGAGCATCTCATGGGGAAGGAAGGATGGAAATGATGGCGTTTGCAGCTCAGGGGAATAAAAGAGGTCTGTTAAGGGGAGACAAGGGAAAAACTACCGCATTAAGCGGTAGTTGTTTGGGTTGCAAATATAAGAAAAAGTATTTGTGTGAACTCAGAGCGGTATGAGGCAGGTCATGGAGGAAAAATGTAGAAATATCCACTACCTTCCTGTCTGTCCCCTGCAAACATCATTTGCATAAAAGCACTAGTGTCAACATAGACTTTGTTCCAGATTTTGCAGGACGTAGAAGAGAGGCTTCACCATATAGCCCACAGCCATCCCTCAAACCCACACACCACTGCGTTAAGGGACCCTCCCCCCCACACCCTCAGCATCCTTCTTGCCTCTCTTTACTGTTACCAAATCGGGTCCAGCTGCTTGCCGCTCATAAATTAATACTGGAGAGAGAGAGAGAGAGAGACAAACGTTGGTAGAAAGGAAAGTTGCTTTTAATCAGAATGCCGGCAGTCTGGGGACACAGTGGATTCAGTGTCCCCCCAAAACTACCTCCAAAGATTCTGCTCAGCCATGAAAGGTTTTAAAGGGAAATAATAATCTCAGTGATCTTTCTTTGGATGCTGTCTTGTTCACACCGTTCGTTGGCGAGATTACTGACGCGGAAGCTAGGGAAGAGATCTGGTCATCTGTTAATTACTTATTCTTCATTTCTACTTCTTTGATCTATGGAAAGAAGCAACGGATTAGGCAAGGTATTGTGTGGTCAAACGATGTGACAGGGGTGCTAGGGCCGGAGATGAGTAGAGCATGCGGGGCACCTGGTGTAAGGTTAGTGACAAGACAAAGGGGGCCGCTGTAGAGAGCTCTTTCCTGCCA